ACACACATATCTACGCGCGATAGGCCACCGCCGGCCGATTCCACGTCACTGGCACCGAAGGAGGGGCGACGCGGTTAGCGCACCGCTTGCGGTGTGTTCTTCCCATGGCACAGCGAGGTGAGGGAGGGGAAGTGAACAACGATGAAGGGAGGGTTGGGCACTCGGACCACAGGGGTGGCGGTGTTTCTAAGGGCGATGGGGTGGATGGGTTGTCGACGGGAGGGGATGAGTCGGCGGCTAAAGCGTTGTTAGTGAAAGGGGAAGTGTTGACAGAGAGACCTCGGGAGGAAGGGAAAAAGAGGTCGGGTGGAGACGTCGAAGTTGGAGACTCACGTCAGACAAGGGAAGTGCTATCTAAGAATGTACAGCAGACATCTGAGGATGCACAACGGACAGAGGCTGAGGTCTCTGGGGGAAAGGGTGGAAGGCCTGGGGGCAACTGGGGTTTTGAGGGTATTGCGCACGCTGGGGGGGGGAAGGGTGTCGCAAAAGGGTGGAACGGCGGTGGGTGACTTGGAAAAAGGTGTGTCTTCAAGTCTAGCAAAAGGGCTGACGTAGATCACAGGAGATTGGGGCAGAGAGATGTGGGAGAGTCATGTGTCTGCGAGTCGGGGAAGGAGTCTGACGAGAGGCTCGGGGGCAGGGACAAGGCGCCTCAGCGCAGATCAGAGGATGGAAATGGAGGCAATGGCAATGCCAGGGTTTCAGGTGTTAGCGCCACGAAGTAAGAGAGGTGGGGAGGAATACTACTCACGTCCAACGAGCGAAATGCGCAGAAACAGAAGGTCACAGACACCTGACGTTGGTCGTTTTACTTCTCGTACGTCAGGTAATGAGGGAGACCAAGGGCCCGTGAAGGATGAAGACAATCGCAAAAGAGGGGGGCTGGTGCCCAGGTGGAAGAGGATGGTGGAGGGGGCTGATCGATAGTTCGGGTGGCTCAGTTGTGTGTGATGGGAGTGTAGAGCAGCTCGGCCATGACGGGCCGTAGGGGTAGGTAACGTCGTGCAGACGTGTTGGAAAACGTGTGTGTTGTAAACGTGTTGTATTCATCGGGGGCGTGCTTGAGCTCGTCATTCCATCACGGCATCAAGTCACGCATAACGCTCAAACACCCAAAACAAATCGCCATGAATGTCCACCAATCTACCACACTCCCAAGGAAAACAGAAAGAAACTTCTTGTTCCTCCGTAGTTCGTCACTGCAATACCAGCTTATGTATACGCAATATACCACCCGCATGCTATGCTACGAGTATATATATCGAATAGCCCCCCTGCTCGTATGCATCGTCATGCTCCGGGAAAATGTCATTGTCATCCTTCTCATACCAGTTCATCCCAAAACACAATCCAAACCAAGAAACGAAAATACTTCAGACACGACAAAAAAAGTATCCAAATAGCATACCAACACACGCCAATCACTCTCGCTCTCTTCTGAAAATTCTCAACTCAAACTCTTTTCATCCAGAAAAATGTAACAAACGCCGTTCAAAGACGCCTTTCCTTTCACCGCCAATTCGTCACAATATCTCGGTGCGTCTCTAAATCCGCCTAGCTAGCTAGATATCCTCCCATTACCAAGATGTATGCAATCCTAAGACAAATTATTCCATTCATCCACCAAACCTTCGTCCGCAGGTAAAACGCGAAGAAGAAATATCTCCCTGAAATACTCAAAATATATCATTAATGTTCGGTGAAGAAATGTCAGCAACGCCATTTCGTTTGAAAGAATATAACGTGCCCCCCTGCTCCGAGGATCCGCCCCCCTGCTTTGTGAAGGCGTCGGAGTCAAGCCGAAAAACAATACGAGAGGTGCCGAAAATCAAAACACTTCTGATCCTCTCATCCACACTTCAATCCGATCTGAAAAACCAAACCCAAGCTTGAATCATACAATACAAACGCCAAATCTCATACCAAATCAAACTCAAAATGAACCTCAATGCCCCTACTTTTCCAGCCATAAACCCCAGCGCATTAGACCACTGCCCCTGCCATTGTTTCTCCCCCGCGGATTTTCGCTCGCCACCGCCGCGGTCGCCTTCTGTGCTCTTCGTCCGGCTGGCCGCGGCTGGAGCATCGTCAGCAAATCGTCCGCCTTCGTTGGGGGAGACCACAATTGTCGCTCCAGAAGGATTGACTCGGCAGCGGTGGAGGGCAGGTCGCGCGTTCGGAAGGGAAGGTGGTGGCACAATCAGTTCCTTATAAAACAGCACACCTGAGGAGAATCACATTCCACAACACTCCCCCCGGTTCTGCACAGGGGTGACTGCTGTACCAAAACAAAATAAAATACAGTTGGACATCCAAAAATTCTCTTCTGCTCACACCGTGTAACTTCAAAGTTCGTGTTGTGCCACTGAAATGGTCTTGAGTGATCTCTTCGGAGGAACGCATTTGGTGGATCTTGCTCCGCGTCATGCTGAGTACTGCCTCTTATTGCTGTCCTCTACGATCTAGTCGGGAATTTAGTTTCTGGGTCAACCTCGCTTCTTGGCTGAGTGATGCCTCGGACTATTTTTCTCTGCGATCTAGTCGGAAAACGTCAGTCTTGGGTCAAGTCTCGCTTTTCGCCGAGGTCCTGCCACGCATATTGCTGTTCTCTCCAGCGAAATTCTACCCAACATCTCCTACAAACTTGCCATGAAATCCTACGTGCTTGCGTCAAGAATTCTGACTGTCCTTCAAATGCGTAATGATGTCCACGCTTTGCTGTTGTGTCGGTGGTGACGTGGTAGTCCCACAAACAAAGTTACGCATCAATCTTTTTTTTTTTGTTACCATACTGCTTTTGGTGTGATAAAAGCCCCTCATACTCCTTTCGTTGCACGATTGGCAACTAAACTCTTGGAAGCATGACATACCCTCATACGTGCTGTTGGTGGCTTGATAATCCCTCACACGTTCAGTTATCTCGTTCGTGACAACCGTACTCTCTCTTTCATCCTAACACCACACATTTCGCAGAATTCCGAACACAGGAAACGGTTCAGACACAAGCAAGCCTAAAAATCTTTCGGAACGCAAAACAAGGCCATATTGATTCGTCTTCGGACAGAGGACATGATTATTTCATCACGTGCCTGAGCGGGTCTGGGACCCTAGTAGCAGAAGAAGTGGTGCTGCTGTAATGCGCTGAGCCGCCCCTCGGGGGCTCGCGCGATGGTCAGGGGGATGTCCGCGGGCGTGGTCGATGGTTCTAGGCGCGCTCCCTTCTGCTGGCCTACCTCATACTCTTCGCTCTCTCGCATGACTTTTATGTAACCCTCTCCTGCTTTCACCTCGCAGCTGACGTCTGGACTCCTGTTGACTTCTTCTGCTTCTAACCGCGCGCTCTTATCGACGCTGCGGGAGCTATCTTGTTCTTAGTTCCTGGCGTCCTCCGCTGCTTGGCGGGCCTCCGCTGCTTGGCGGGCTTCATCTTCGCGCCTGGTAGCCATCTTGACCCTCCTCTCGATCGCCGCAGAGCGATACTCCTAAACCAAGCTCGACCGCGAATCTCGTAGACGACATGTCACAGGCTAGCGTGATCGATAGTTCGGGTGGCTCAGTTGTGTGTGATGGGAGTGTAGAGCAGCTCGGCCATGACGGCCCGTAGGGGTAGGTAACGTCGTGCAGACGTGTTGGAAAACGTGTTGTATACGTGTTGTAAACGTGTTGTAAACGTGTTGTATTCATCGGGGGCGTGCTTGAGCTCGTCATTCCATCACGGTATCAAGTCACGCATAACGCTCAAACACCAAAACGAATCTCCATGAATGTCCACCAATCTACCACACTCCTAAGGAAAACATAAAGAAACTTCTTGTTCCTCCGTAGTTCGTCACTGCAATACCAGCATATGTATACGCAATATACCACCCGCATGCTATGCTACGAGTATATCGAATAGGGGCAGTGCCTCGGACGAAGGTGGTGGAGGGGATGGAGAGTCTCTTGGTGAGCAGCCATCGGATGGGGGGAAGGTGAGAGACACATCGATTGCGATCCTTGATTTGTTTCATTTCGCATTTTGGGGGGAATGTGGAGGCTCTCCAAAGTCTGGTGTCCAATATGGGGGGAGGTGGAAGAAAGGAACCAGCGAGATTAAAGAGAAATCTCGGAGGGTGGAGGTGAAGGGTGAAAGGGGTGAACGGTATTGCGAGATTAAAGAGAAATCTCGAGGGGTGGAGGTGAAGGGTGAAAGGCGTGCACGGTATTGCGAGAACGGAAAGAAATCTCGCGGGGTGGAGGTGAAGGGTGAAAGGGGTAAAAAGTATTGCGTGATTGAAAACAAATCTCCAGGCGTGGAGGTGAAGGGTGGAAGGGGTGAAAAGAATTGCGAGATTAACAACAAATCTCGAGGAGTGGAGGTGAAGGTTGAATGAAAGGGGTGAAAAGTATTGCGAGATAAAAAGAAATCTCGAGGAGTGATGGTGCAGGGTGAAGGAGGTCCCGGGTATTGACAAAATATTCGCACGATTGAGAGCGAAGTATCTGATTGAGAGCGAGATNAGCTGCTGAAGAGAGCTTCAATTTGCGCCGCTTTTTGGAAGAGCCCGTCCACTGCTTCCCGAGAAATGACGGGAGGCGTCTGGACCCGAATTTCGATTTTTTTTGGTTCTCGCTCTCAATCGGAAACTTCGCTCTCAATCGCGCGAAAACCCTGTTTTATTGGGATGACGAAAAGAAATATCACGGGCAGAAGGGAAGAAAGCAAAGCCAAGGACCCGGATCAAAACAGACTCGGGGGGGCTGGGGTAAAGAGAAAACAATCATCACGCGAGAACATCGAAGACGA